GGGCTGGGCTTATAGCACTGCATACAAAAATCCAGTCCTGGTTAGGATGTGCTTCCCACCCAACTCCATCTCACCAGCCTCATTTAGGCAGAGGGAGGATAAAATATTTGTTGTTGTTATTGTTAAAATCTGAGAGTCAGAACTCCTGGATGATCAAATGTGAATAATCCAGAGATCTACTAGTTGATGCTGATATACTTTTGTGCCCAACCCTGCATGTGACCTGAAGATTCAGTGGACAGTGCTGAGGAGTGAAGCTGCATGTTCTGTGCCATTTGTAAAGGTCTGTTGGATGGATGTCCTGGTACAGGTGTGGATCTCAGAAGGAAGGGGATGAGGCTGGGGGTTTTAATCTGATTCCAGCAAGCCGCCACCACACACAGCCAGCCAATGTAGGCCTCAGCATCTGCCAGGGCATCCCAACCCCCCACATGACCCAGAGGAGGTACAAGAGACAGAGGGAGAGGCAATAGCACCTCCAGGAAAGATAGAGGTATAAGGACACTTCCCAAGAGATGGCACTTCAGGCCATCCTTGAAGGGCATTGTGTAGCTCAAGACTGTCTTAAAGACCTAACACCCACACCAGTTGCCATTGACCCCAGTGCTTTGAATTTCAGGTCAACTACAGACAATCATCAACTAACTCCCTTATGGGACTACAGGATTGGGAAAGAACTCTTCCTTTTTTCTGCATTCCATTACCCTAATAAAGTCAAACTCAATCAGTTTCTCAAGCATGGAGTTTATGGCATTAGGTGGCGGTGGTGTTGCTCACATTAAGCTATTAGCTTATTTGAGATCACGGTTCCATTTCCATTTTAACAAATTGTTTTCTTTCCAAGGAAATGGAGCCCGAGATCGTTGTGAATGCAAGGCTCTCAGCTTCTCATGGTAATGGGTCCCTGCTGTAATGAGAATCTAAATATGACAAGATATGACAGGGACTGTAGCAAGACAGTGAAAGGTTTCATAGGAAGATGGTAATATTATTCCAGAGAAGAAGATCTTGCAATGAGATAAAGTGAAATATTTATGGAGAGGTAGCAAGCTGTTTCTGATGTGCATGTAAGGCAAGTATCGAGGTATATAGTGAGCTATGTCTGGAGTTAGCAAGGGCATTCAAGGATACTGAGGCTGTACAGCAAGAGATTTCCTGGTGATCTCATAAAATATGGCAGCAGGTAAAGCCCTGTGGTACCTTGCTCAATTCTGTTTTGAGGATGAGGCAGTTCACTGCTTGGACCACGAACCGCTCTCCCGTTCCATGTTAGAGCAGGTCTCCTGAGAGAATGGGGTGGTGGTGGTTATAATAAGATCTTCTGGAAGGTGATGATATACTGTAGCAAGATGTCACAGAAGGTTGAAAACATGATACAAGGGGTCTGGAAAAATTATGAAGGGTATAATATGAACAGGTTTAAGAGCAGTCTAGAGATGAAATCATAATGAGCTGTGCGAACCAATGTGACTGGTTTAAAGCTATACATTTCAGCTTTTGTGTGGAAAATATTAATCAACCTGAAATGGCCTAAGTAAACAGCTTCGTTAGAAGCTACTGCCATCTATAGGTGGAATTCTTTTAATCTCTTAACATGATTCACACAGGAGCTGCAACTCTGTTTAGTCATCATAATGTAATTCTTTAATGTAACTCAACAAATATAATGTGGAAAGCCTAGTAGCTATTACCAATATCTTCTTTAGACTTCAGCAAAGGAGGGAAAACACCACAAAATAAACACCTTTTTTTAAGGAAGATGGGAAATAAGTTAGAACAATCAAGTGCTTATGCAAGACAGATTACTCATTCTATTTGTTATCTTCTCTGGTCCTTGCTCTTTACAAAACAGACCACCTCTTGTATATTTCCACTGCAAATATTCAATTTGAGCCAGATTATTTTATTCATTATGGTTGTAGCACATGGGGAAAACCTCTTCTCTAGCAGTTCTCCACTCTCACTCTAAAGAAATTGTTCTCATGTCACTTCATACCCAAGTATTTGGAATTAATGTGAAGAGATGTATTGGTCATCTTCCCTCAAACTAGCAACTCTGTCCTCAAGCATGTTGGGATTTGAGGTCCAACATATTGGGAAGGCCACCAGCTTGGGACAAACTGTACTGAAGTATCTGACCTGTAGTCACAAATAAAGCATGTTTCATAGAATCATAGAAAAGTGAAGTTGAAAGGGGCCTACAAGACCATCAAGTCCAACCCCTACTCAATGCAGGAATGCAATCAAAGCATATCTTCCAGGTGATTATCTAAGTTTTTCTTCAATGCCTCCAGTGTTGGAGCACTTACCAACTCCCGAGGTAACTTGTTGTAGTGCTCTGTTGTACTGCTCTAACTGTTAGGAAGTTTTTCCTGATATTCAACTGAAATCTGGCTTCCTTTAACTTGAGCCCATTGTTGCGTATCTTGCACTCTGGGATGATCGAGAACAGATCTTGCTCCTCTGTATGACAGGCTTTCAAATATTTGAAAAGTGCTATCATATCACCCCTCAGCCTTTCCTCAAGGCTAAACATGCCCAATTCTTTCAGCCTTTCCTCATAAGGCTTGGTTTCCAGCCCCCTTATCATCCTTGTTGCCCTCCTCTGAACTTGTTCCAATTTGTTTAATTACTGAATAACCAATCCCTTTAATAGATTAAGGGTATATTCTTGTATACAATGAAAAATAAATAAAGTATGATCCTTGTATACAATCTGAAGACAAGGGTAAGTAACTACAGAGTTGGGAGTTCTGTAGAATAAACACAAGAAGCAAAAATCCATGACTAGATCAGTGGGTTGGGTATCCTTGTTTAAAGGAAGATCCAAAATGGTGGCTGCAGAAACAGCTCAGATGTGGTAGGTTTCAGATTTTACCAGTGGTGGTGTGGATTAGAAAGTGACTGCAAATCTTGTTAGACAAAGAGCTGGGAGCCATTCTTTCTTTCAGGAAATTCTCTATCCCCAACCACTTTCTACTTCCTCCATCGCATGAATGGACTACTGAGCACATTCAGTCCTCACCTGTTTGGAAAGGCATAAAGTATTTTTATATTAAAATGTATTTTTCTTTAGCCTCCATTTGGTTCAGTGTCTGTCCATCCACCATTATGTACGTAACTTCGTTATTAAAGGAACTGATGTACTGTATATGCTGAAATATCCCTCACTTAAAATATCTTCCTGTACCATTCAGACTATGTTTCCTGTCTTCAACTGTTCCTCTCCCCTTCACAATGCCCTCAAAAGCAGATTGTTTCATCATCATGATACATGACACTGTATTTCTATATCGTTTGTAATTATTTATGGCTAGCTTGTGGACCATGCATCTTGGTATTAGATGCCCTCTGCTTGGTTCATGATGCTCCAACATAATCACTATTCACTGATTATTTAGATAGAATCAAAAATCAGAACTTTTAAAGTTTGCTTTTAATAATCCTTGCACATTTATTAGCAAGTTCTCTGTCTTTCTTTGTGAGAGGCAGAAATTTAAGAGACAAGTTTTTCTCTATCACTGTTTCTCCGTCCTTGAAAATTTCAACCTGTTGCCTATTTGTTTGTCATGTCTCTGTTAGAGAAAAAGGTGGCAACTCTTTGTTGATGCTATGATAACTTCTAAAAGAGCCTGAAAAAGGACTAGAATGCTAAAAATCTCCCAATCTAAGGAACCGTGCAGTAACTTGTCCAAGCTCTGAATCCAAAGAAGTAATTTTCTAAGGTCTAATTCTCACACACATTTCTTTTTTATAATATCAAGCATATAACATGAAAGAGAGTGCTGCAATATTTGCAAACTTATTATTCAGCAATAGTCACAACCCTTACTTGTGAAACTCATATTGGATGGCTAAATATCAAAAGATCCATTAAGTAGGTCAGGCTAAAAAATACAACTGTTCAAAAACTCATATATATGTACTACTAAGCTACAGCAGTAACTTTATATATATAAAGTTACTGCTATAGCTTAGTAGTACAAAAGGCACTTTATTTCAATATATTAAAGAGAGAATGAATCTATTTCCCCACTCTTGCAGCTACACATAGTCTTATCAACTTGATTGTCTTGTAAGAAGAAAACAAGAGGGAAAAAATGAGATTCTTTTGTTGCCACCAGGGTAAAAATAATAACTGGCAATAAACTAAAATTAATGAATTATTTTATTAGGGTTATATTTATTAAGTTTAAACTTGGTACCCTTCTGCTTCTACAAAACAATGGACCTATCTATCTAATGCACAGGATATCTATAGTCAGACATCTGGGTTTTATTTTATTTTTTACTCTAAATGGTAGGACATAAGCAGCCATCTGAAGCAGACCAAAAACTTGCCCAGCCCAGTATCCTGTTTCCATAATCAAGTGTTTGTTTGTCTGATAAACTTGTATACTGCCCAATTAGTGCTGGGCACTACTCTGGGAAGTTTACATCACAAATAAAGATAACAGAACATAATATAAAAAGAAACTACTACTCATATAGAACTATAAATATATCAAAAATCAAATATATCAAAAATTGATCTAAACAACACTCATAAATCAAACAGACCATGGGATTCTCACAAGCAGTTTAAGGCAATAATCTGCCCTACTGTTGGTCTCCACTATTTGGTATTCCCAGAGGTAGTTTTTAGGTAGCATGCTCAGTAGCCATTGGCAGCCATATCCTCCATTAATTTGTCTAAGCTCATTTGAAAGCCACTCAAACTGGTAGCCGTCACTTCATCTTGGGGTAGTAAATTCCATTATGTTAACTGTGTGCTGTGAGAAAATGTACTCCTGTTAAATTCCCTGAATCTCATTCATTTAAGTTTCAGAAATGATCCAGGTTCAAGTGCATATTATGAACGAGGAAGAAAAGCATGGGATATTTTTAGAAACATCTTTTCTCAATGTTATGCTCTTGGTTTAAAATACCAGTGAGGCAGAGAAAAGGGCATATACAACCCCCACGACAGTAATTTCTGTAGTTCCAGAAAAGGGCACCTCATAGTATAGTCTTATAAACTGGGGCAAGGGGGACAGATGTCCTTGGGCCTACGATTCCCATTACAGTAGTTCATCTATTGGAATAACTAGGCGTAGCAGCGAGGGGCCACCTGTTTCCCATACCAGTTTATGTTTACTCAGAAAGAAAACATTCAGGTTAATGAGTATAGAAGAGCAGCCTCGTAGCCCACAAACAATGCGCGGGATCTGGGATGGTGTTAATGCTCCTAATCCTAATTCGTGCCCCTAAAATGCTGCTTTAGAAGTGAAAAGAAAACTCTGGAAATCAGCCTACATATAGGTGTATAGTATGTAGATCGGTCCAGAGTCACTCCGGTAAGAAAGGCGAGGTATGCCATCGGACCTCCGTCCTTAGCAGCACCTTGCACGGCATTGTGCCAAAGCGTTCAGCCTCGTGGTCCCACACATAATCGCGTTTCGGTTCGAGATGGCGAGCAAAAGGGAACGATCAGGCGGAACGGAGCCCTGCTGGTTCTTTTCTCTGGCCGGTTCCTAGAGGGTTGGCGCCCAACGCCCGGCTGGCGATTTCCTGGAAGCGAACGGATCACGCCCAACACGGATCGCAGGCCTGTCACGCTCTACTCTTCGCAGTGAACTGGGCGGGGGTGTTCGCCCGACGGGGCGGGGCCCTGGCAACGGCCCGCCTCCCATGGAGGCGCAGGCGTGGTGGGTTTGCCGGAACCAGCCAGCTGTCGCGTGAGGCCGTCGGAGGGAATCTGCCGGCCGAGGGCCGTAGCCATGAGACGACGGAGGGGAGAAGCCCCTAAACTCTGACCTCGGGCCCAGGGTGAAGGAGGGATGCTCAAAGGCCGGACCGGAGTCCCCCTGACGAAGGAGCTCTTTAGCGTTCAGCAGGAACGAGGCGCCCTTCTCCCGCACAGGCAAAGTGTTGTTGCACGGCTCGGTGCCCTCTGCTCCCCGTTCGCCCGCCGTTGCCTAGGTGACTGGAAGCGCGCGGGGTTCCTGGTCCGGGGAGCTGGCGGCGCGCGCCGGCACTCTCCCGCTTTCCCCGCGAAGGACGGCGCGAAACCGGCCGCCTCGCGCAGCCGCGTGCCATGTCTCGAGAGCCTCCGGCCGCTTGGGTCGGGCGCCCGTTCCCTCAGCCGCGACGTGGGCCGTCGCCGGGCGGTCGAAGAGCGAGGTGAGCCGGGCGGGAGTTAGAAAGGGCAAGGCAGGCCGTGGTTGCTTCTCTCGGTGTCGAGGGATGGAAATATACACTACAGTATTATGGCTCAACGCGCTTCCGTTGCCAGGCGGTGCCCTCCCGAGAATCCTTTGAAACAACGCAGGAAGCTGAAGGTCCTTGTCTTTTGGTGCAGCTTCCAGAAGGGGAAAATGAAAATGCCTTTTGCTGTTGCAGACTCTGTTTGAGAAGTATTAATTAATAAAAGTAATGACCTACAATGTAATTAGATATACATCAGTTGCCTTTTAAGTATCACGTAATAATATCTGTAGAAAAATCAAGCAGAAGATAACTTGTATGTAGATCCTTTTGTATTGTCTTTCTGGTCATCTGCTTTTCTGTTACCGGTTGAAATCAGCTGCACATTAAAGAAATTGTGCAGATGATTTCTTGTAGCTGTACCCTGCTTTTCCCTACTGTTCTGAATTGATTCTGGGTTTAAAGGCAGGATGGATGCTTTGTGCATTCATAATCATTTGATTGCAAGAGGAATGAGATAAGCAAAGAGACAAATAGTGCTCATGTAAACATTCCTTTTCTCTGTACACTTTAGAATGATATCATGAGTGTGAAATTTGTATATTGGAAGTGTTTGCTGTAGGATAAAAGAAAAACTAAATTGCTTTAGTCATGGCAGGGAGTGCACTTAAGAAGAATCCATCCTGAACTTTTCATGTTTGAATTACTTCTCCTCTTACAGCAAAAAGGAAAATTATAATATTACAGCATGTAGTTATACAGTGATGCAAGGTTTTGAGGTAGAAAAAATTGTGTCTTACATTTGTTTCCATGTTTATTTATTTTGCACCCCATTTTTCTCCCAATAATGGGAGCGACCTACAGAATATTTATAATGGCAGTAGCCAGAATCCTAGCATATGCTTCCACCAGTGTAAAATCATTAACACAACATTAAGTGGTAAATTACCCCCAAGTTAAGAAGTAAATGTGGGCATTTCCTCTTGTTCACTGCATCATATGACTGGTGTATGATAGGAATTGCCCGTGCCAACTTCTTAACTTGTAACAATTTAGCAGGCACAATTAACAGGAATCTGGTCATTAAATTACATTTAAATTACAAATTAAACATTGCACATTAAAACACGAAGTCCAGCAGAACCAACAGGAGCATACCTTCTCTGTCCTTTTGGCCATTTCTCCATTGTCATATAGCTACTGACATGTATATTAGTATTAATGAAATTTACTTTGATGTACTTTTCTTTTTTCTATTTAGATGTGAATATTTCTGTCTCATCTCCACAGTTTGAAAACAGCAAAGGTAGCTTTTCTTTATCCGGAAGCAGAAAGCTTTACTTTGATACCCATGCCTTTGTGTGCCTCCTGGAGAAAAATGGTAATTTTGTTGTTGATGATGATTATATTTATGCCCTGCCTTTCCATTAAATGACAGTGCTAAGGGTGGAAACAGATCCCAGCTCTGAAGGGAGTGCATTCCACATTCTTGGAGCAGCACAGGAGAGAACCACCTTCTACATGCATGATATGTAGGCCTCTGAAACAATAGGTATTTTTACTAGAGCCTTTCCTGAAGATTTTAAGGCCCATTATATAAATTAATCTGCATTGCCCAATATGAGTTACTGTGGATTTTATTCTTTTTATCTTTGCCTTGTCAGGGATAGCTCTTTGTGTGTGTACTCTTTTGAGTTATGTGAATTTGGATTTAGAATGGATCATTTTGGAAATCACTGTAATTGTACTATTTGCATTAGAAGAATTCTGAGCAGTTTGATGTTTTAAGAGAAATCCTCCTTTGCCAAAACTGAGTTCCTTCTCTCATCCTTTCACGTGCTTCAGCTAAAACAATTTTGATAATTTTCCTTATGAATCACACTTGCAAAAAAAAAGGTCTTTGACTGGGAATGAGATTTTAGTTAGGCTGCAGTCATAAATCCCACTAATAGTAAGAAACCTTCATAGAATACAGCAAGACATAACTTCTGAGTAAATACAGTGGTGCCTCGCACAGCGAGGTTAATCCGTTCCGGATTAACCCTCGCTGTGTGAAAGCATCGTTGAACGGAACGTAAAAACCCAATTGGGCCAAATACTCACTGTTCAGCGATGCTTCAGGATGGCCGGCAGCCATTTTCGCGCCCTCCCCTCGCTTTACGAGGGCACGAAAACGCGGCGCGTGGCCATTTTGGGGCTTCCAGTGGCCATTTTGTAGCCGCCGAACAGCTGATCGGCAGGTCGCAAAGCGAGGGTCACTAAGCGAACTGCTTACCAACCTTCGCTCTGCGATTTTCGCCCTATGCAGGCACCGTTTCATCACTCTACGAGGCGCCCATTGTGCGAGGCACCACTGTACATGAATGTTTGTATTGCTAGATATGTAGACTTGTAATAGCTCAGCTGCCTAACTAGGAGTAATGTCCACTCAACTTGAAGAGAGTTACTCCTGGGTAGAAAAGGTGGAAAGAATGGTGTTTTTCCAACTTGCAAGCTTTTTTTTTCCTTTGGGTAAAGAATTGCTAAGGCAGCCTTTGGCTTTGTGAATATTATATGTAGAGATGGGGGTGTTCGTATTTGTACACAAATACAAATATCCCTGCACTGGTGGAAATAATGAGGGTCCGGCCCCATGGGGCCAGACTGTCCACTCACAATTTCGCCACTGCTGCCAGCTCTGTGGGAGGCTTCCTATCGCATTGTTCTCTGCAATGGATAAGCCACTCTCTGACCTAGCAGAGAGGCCTGTCATCCCACCTCCTGCCAGGACTGGGTAATCATTTGCGGACAACGGCGCAATAAGAAGCCTCCGTGGAGCTGGCAGCAGTGGCGAAATTGTGAGTGGACAGTCCAGCCCCATGCGGCCAGACTCTTGTTATTTCCACCTGTGCAGGGATATTTGTATAAGAATAAGAATACCCCCATCTCTAATTATATCCTCCAGAGCACTTTTTTGACATGTTAGGCATACATGTATTTATTTACTGGTTACAGTTGTATTTCTTGTGATAAATTGAACACAGCCGAAATTTGCTTAATAATATTTTATATTTCTTTAGGATTCACAACTCAGCAAGCTGAGGTCATTGTGTCAGCTTTAATGAACATTATGAAAAGCAACATGGATGTGATATACAAGGATATGGTCACAAAAATGCAACAGGTCAGATACATGAAAGTGGATTTTCTTATTATCCAATGATAGCCAAATATATCACTATAGACTTGGAACCAGATGTATTTTTGCTTAGATTATGTTCATTTGTATCAATGGCTTAAGATATTTATGACTAACAAGTCCTATTGCTCTCAACAGGTTTACTTTTAAGTTGGGCCCCATCCCAAAGAAATTGACAAATTAAGCCTGTCTAACTCAGCATTGAGCAAGTGGTTGCAAAATCAACATAATCATGGTAAACTGTAGCCTGCAAAGTAATTCTGCAGGTGACATTATGCAATCTCTTGTGCACACTGAAAATTTGGGAGTTAGTAGAAATTGTACCATGCTTTAACCTTTCCCATGCTTCTGCCTCCTTCTCTCCATGTTTTCCCCCCTTATGGGTCAGTGAGTTCCCCTGCCCCTTATGGCTCAATGAGTTCCCCTGCCATTCTTTCATGCTCTCATTCCATGACCTCTCTTATCTCACTCTGTTCTTCTATTCTTACGCCTCTCTTCTCTTTTCCATCTTTCCTGGGGTGCAGTGGTTTAGGTTGCATGGTCACTTGTGCAGCGTCATAAATTCTTAGTATAACTTCCTACAGGATTACAAATAGAATTCTGGTCAGTGTATCATTTGTAAGCTAAAGCAGTTGTTTTTCATGAGGCTACTACATCTTGTCTGTATTCTTTTTCCTATTGTAGTGTACATTCATTAGTTCCTTGTGCAAACATTTCTGCTTCCTTTTTCTGTTGTGGAGGTTTTCTCATTTTGGACAGCCTTCACACATGAACAGAGGAACACTTGAGTATGAAAACTGGTCTGGTTCAGGACTGGCACCATCAAAAGCCTGCAAGTCAAGAAATAAATAGTGTGGAATAATCCAGGTGGCAGCAACACCTTGATGACCCCTGCAACATTTTGTTAAAAGATCTCTTATAGTCTCTTTATATGTAGGCATTTCAGGACTGGGATCATTTTTATTGTCCAAATGAACCAACTCACATTTTTTCAGAGAAGTCCCTACATAAGCTTATGTATCAAAAATGCAGAGTGCTAGTTTTCTACAAATAACGGAGGAGAGAGCTGTTTCTGTTGTATTGAGGTTTTGATGTTTTAACAGTATTAAGCTAACTAGTTTATGTTTTGAGTGTGGAATGCAGGCTTCACGCGGTCAGGTGCAAACACTGTGTCTATGCATAAAATATTCCTGCGGGACTGAACATCACCCTGTTTTTCCAGTTTTCCCTACCCGTTCAAAACAGAAGATGAGTACAAATTGGGACCATCTTGAGAAATGAGATGTCTGTGGTCACACCCATATCCACTGAAGTCTCAAAAATTAGTATAATTTTTATTTATTTATTTATTTATTTATTGGATTTCTATTCCGCCCATCTAGACCAAAGGTCTACTCTGGGCGGTTTACAAATTTAAAAACAATAAAACCAAAAAACATACATTATAGATCCAAGGTGGCAAAAGTATAAGAAATTAAGATGCGACAGGAGGGAAAGCCTGCCCAAATAGCCAGGTTTTAAGTTTATTCCTGAAAACACCCAGAGAGGGAGCCAGGTGGACCTCCACTGGCAAGTTGTTCCAAAGGCGAGGGGTCACTGCCGAGAAGGCCCTGTTCCTCGTTCTTTCCCTCCGGACCTCCTTCGGCAGTAGGCCCCTCAGCTGCCCAGCCTGGCTGGAACGAGTGACTCTGGCAGAACTGGGTGGGAGAAGGTGCTCTGCCAGATATTGAGGTCCTAAACCATTTAGGGCTTTATATGTGATTGTAAGAACTTTGAAATCAACCCAGAAATGGATGGGCAGCCAATGTAAGGCGGCCAGTGTGGGGAAAATATGTTGGTAACTTTCACCCCTGTAAGAAGTCTGGCCACTGCATTCTGTACCATCTGAAGTTTCTGCGTCCATCTCAAAGGCAGCTCCACGTAGAGTACGTTACAGTAGCCTAATCTTGAGACTACAAGGGCATGGACCAAAGTGGTGAGCGCCCCACATCAAGATAGGGACACAGCTGGGCAATCCACCGAAGGTGGAAATGTGCGGAATGGACCGCTGACAACACCTGGGTCTCCATGGTCTAGATGTACACCCAGACTGAGAACCTCACTCTTGGTGGTAAGACTCACCTCCCCAAAGGAGAGGGAGTTTCCCAGACCACTGATGTCTGGGACACCCACCTGAAGAACCTTCGTCTTGCCCGGATTCAGCCTCAGTTCATTCATCTGCATCCATTGCTGAACAGCCTCCAGGCAGTGCTCAAGGGACAAAACAGTATCCACTGTTGTTGGAAAAAAGGAGATGTAGAGCTGAGTATCATTAGCGTACTGATGACACGAAACCTCACATCCCCTGATGACCTCTCCCAGTGGCATCATATAGATGTTAAATAGCATTGGAGAGATAATCAAGCCCTGTGGAACCCCACAATTGAGGCTCCACGGGGCCGAGAAATTCTCTCCGATCTACACTCTCTGGGGACAGTCCCCAAGAAAGAATGGAGCCAGGCAAGAGCCAGGCCACCAGTTCCCAACTCGGAGAGCCTCCCCAGGAGAATACTATGGTCAATGGTATCAAAGGTGGCTGAGATGTCAAGGAGGACCAGCAGAGACATTTTGCCCCTGTCGGCCTCCCTCAGCAGGTCATCAAACGGGGTGATGCCATTTCCGTGCTGTGGCGCAGCCTGAAGCCCGACTAGAACAGATCCAGGGCATTGGTTTCATCCAAGAGCCTGGAGCTGATCGGCCACCACGCTCTCAACTACCTTGCTGTGGAAAGAAACATTGGTGACGGGCCTATAATTAATTAATTTGGCTGCTAACATAAATGGTTTTATGCACAACTCTTAACAACCTCCTTGAAATGTGACCTGGTCTTGTGGAGTCACTGGGACAGTTACTTTTAAGAGGAATAAACATAATAACATGCTGAAGCTATTTATAACTGAACAGTAGGAGTATAATGCTCAGAAAATATGGTGTATAGGTCTCTTCCTGTAGTTCTAAAATCATGATGATGATTATAATTTTTATCATCACCATCTAGATTACTGTGATGCCTTGAATACGTTACTTTGCCATACCTGTTTACTACATTCCCATCCCATCTTTTCTTTGGGCACTGGAGTTGAGCAGGATGGGGAGAAAAGCCTCTGTTTAGAAGTTGCAGCGTTCCTGATAGAGTAAAGCCTTCAGCAAGTTTTATGTTACTAGTATAACAGTTTATAAGAGTTGGTGAAACAGTGAATGTAGAGAATATTATGATAGCATTCGTACTGTTACAATGAAGTAATGTTTCTCTTTCAAAGGAAATTGCTCTGCAACAGATAATGTCTCATATTGGTGTTGTGAAGAAAGATATGATTATTTTGGAGAAAAGTGAATTTTCAGCGCTCCGAGCAGTAAATGAGGTAAGAAGAACTCTTAAAAATTTCAAGACTGTTTGTTGTGATTTTTAATGACATTTTAATGTGCCATCTAGCAGAAATATTACGCATTAGTTAATTCAGTTACGTTCTTTACTTAAATGCAACAGGCACAATCTGCTAAGTACATTTGTTACCTAGTTCAAGAGAAACAAAAGTAGTTTCCTTCTTATGAAAGGAAAGCTTTCTCTATCACGCATATGAAAATTGCAAGTATTACTTGTTTCTATAAAGAAAAGATCCAAAGATGCATAATGAGTTTGAATCCATCCAGTTCCATATAGGTGGCATGTATACAATTTTGTGATGTAAGAAATTGTTAATTGACATTGGAAACGTTACTTCTCAAATTTCATACCAGATTGGAATGATTAAATTAGGCCAATATTTGTATCATTTTATCTTTGTAACGTTAATGTTTTTCTTTTCTTTTTTTTAATGCAAAGAAATTAAAACTTGAACTTCAACAGCTAAAAAAGCAAGTAATGGTAAGGTATTTTGTAACCAGATAATATAACTTTACTTTAAATTTTAGCGAGATGTGTTGTGTGTTCAGACTTTCTGTAAAATATTCTGAGATTATAGTTTTATTCCCTGGATTGATTATATATTGATGTGGTTGGGAAAGCAGTTCAGGAATAAGTACCGTTGAACAACTTGGTCTGCCTCTGCTTTGTAACAAGTCAGTAGAATCCACAAAGGTGTGGGGTATCAAATTTCTTTCTTCTAGTTCAACAAAGAGCACTTCTGGATGCAGAAATTTTCTTCTATGCAGCATCCATATACAGCATCAGTCTAGGTGAATGACTCACTTGAAGAGATCTGTTGCTGTCATCTATTGCTGGATGAGAATGACAGTGAATTACATGTTTCCTTTAGTAAATTGTGATCAGTTGGCTAAATTAAATTATAGAGTATGTGTTCTTATGGTTGGAAGTAAACCTGAATGGATAAGATAATGGTGTGGTTGGGAAAGCCAGCTTCAGCTTTACAGGCAACAAAGAATGCCAGAGAAGGAAGGGGGAAGGACATAGACATATAGAGAAGGATTACAAAGGACAAAACATAGCACTAATATATTCTGGGAACCACAAATTGGTGTGGAGGAGGCGGAGATAGTCAGTTATTAGTTCATAAGCTGAGGATTTTAAGTCTATGAGCAGAGAACTGGAGTGGTTCCAGGTCATGTTTTGTGCTGTGGCTGAGAATGGTCTGAGGAGTTAGGAGGATCTTGTAAAGAGTCTCACAGACTGAAATGCTTTTAGCATTAGTATAGTCATATGAAAAAGAAGGTACATCCTCTATGAATTCAGGAGATAATAGAAATCATCTGGTCCTTAGCAGGTCTGAAAATTAGGTAAATATAGATCAGGGATCAGCGAACTTTTTTACCTTTTACCCCCCCAAAATTTATATACGCCAACATTACCCCCTTGATTCGAAAAGAAGGAAATCATACATTATTTGAACTAAAAATATTATTGAATCTACACAGGCTGTGTACTGAACTAGCAGGATGCACCAAATTTGATAAAGATGTGCATTATTTTTCCTGAAACACATTGCACTCCAGCCATGGTGTGGTATAGGGAGTAGTAAGGTGTCCAACGTGCCTAGCAAGTTGCATTAAATTTTTGCTAGCTCGCGGAGGATTTAATCACCATCAGTGGCTACCAGAGTGGTGCTAGCAATGACATGCTTGCTAGAGACAGCCAACACAGAATTGGGGAGGGGCTTTCCCTACCACTTTAATCATTCTATGTGTGGTGTGCAAAAAGGAACAAACCAGGCTAAAGGCCATGGCACACGCCCTGGTGCCACAGCCCAATATCAAAGGACCAGTGTGCTTTTTTTTATCATCATCAGTGGAAAACTCAGCAGTGGCCAGAGGACTGCCAAAGATCAGTCTACATCCCAATCCCAAAGAAGGGCAGTGCCAAAGAATGCTCCAACTACCAAACAATTGCACTCATTTCACAAGCTAGCATGGTTATGCTCAAAATCCTACAAGTTGGGCTTCAGCAGTATGTGGACTGAGAACTCCCAGAAGTACAAGCTGGATTTCGAAGGGGCAGAGGAACTCGAGACCAAATTGCTAACATGCGCTGGATTATGGAGAAAGCCAGAGAGTTCCAGAAAAACATTTACTTCTGCTTCATTGACTACGCAAAAGCATGGCAGAAAGTGAAGAGGAATTAATGAACCTCTTAATGAGGGGGAAAGAGGAGAGTGCAAAAAACGGTCTGAAGCTCAACATCAAAACAACTAAGATCATGGCCACTGGTCCCCTCACCTCCTGGCAAATAGAAGGGGCAGATATGGAGGCAGTGACAGATTTTACTTTCTTGGGCTCCATGCTCACTGCAGAGGGTGACAGCAGCCATGAAATTCAAAGATGCCTGCTTCTTGGAAGGAAAGCAATGATAAGTTATTGCATGTTGCAGCAGCTGATGATCCCAGACTTTAAGGGTAGCCCTAGTTACAGTGCATGGCAGTAACCAAGATGTGATGTAACTTAGATATGAATTACTGTTGCTAAGTCAGATTGTCTCAGGAAAAGTCATAGTGCACTATGAACTTTTCAGAATTTTGTAAAGTCATTCCTCATCCCCACTGCCTCCTGGGAGTCCAGTGACAATGGAGAGTCAAGGAGCACTCCCAGACTATAAATCTGACATGTTAGGGAGAGTGCAAGCTCTTCTTGAACCAGTTGAATCTGGATACCCAGATCTGACTTTCTACTGGCCAGCAACACCTCTGTATCTTGACAGGATTTAGTTTTAGTTTGTTCGCCAGTATCTAGCCCAATGTGAGCTTAGGCAACATTCAAAGGTCCAGACTTCTTCTTTAGAAGGAGGCAGTTGAGCTGGGTGTCATCAGCACACTGGTGGCACCTCACTCCAAAGCATGAAATGACTTCCCAGCACCTTCATATAGATGTTTAGTAAAATAGGAAATAAGATAGAGCCCTGAGGGATGCCAAAGGCCTTGCTGATGAACAGTGTTCTCCTAATGTGACCGTTTTTATATATCGTGACAGGAAGGATCAGAACTACTGTAATGCAGTGTCCCCAACATTCAAGCTAGCCAAGCAATCCAGCAGGATACTGTGATCATAAGAATGAAATGCTTTTGAAAGGAGTGGAATAACTAATAAGGCTGCACTCCCCTTACTCAGTCCCCAGTGTAGATGATCTACCAAAGCAGTCTCAGTCCCATATCCAAGATGTTGCAGGAGTGTGGGCCAGCCTCACTGGGTGACAGTTTTCTGCAGCTACTGTTTTCCTGTGTGTAGGTGTGCAAAGTAGAGAGAAGCTGGGAAAAGGCTTATCTGACTAAGATTTTAATGTTATTGGTGTTTCTGACAGATGCCTCTTTTTTAAGGCAAGTTTATCCAGCTAACTCTTGTTCTTATGCCTCCACTTTTTCATTTTCAGTCATTGCTGCTATTTTGTTCAGATCACTCGCCTCAAAGTGGTTTATATAAAGCTCCTGTTGTTGCAAAATGATTAAAAAGTAAAATATAATTTAAAAGGATAACAAGAAAATATAAAGCTGAATAGAATGAAACAGTAAGGGAACAGAGCACATAAACACCTTTCATCCTAAATTAGTTGACATCAGTTGGAATCTGAAGGACAGTAATGTCTGCTGTAGTGCAAGGCATAGGCCAGTTTTTGAAAGCTTTTTTTATGAAGCAGGTCAATGGATGTTGTGCCCCAACTGCAGTTAAGTGTAAGTTGAGCTGCTGAGAATTGTGATTGCCAGTTTCTAAAGTTGGACAAATTTACATGATTCATTAGCTATTTGGATATTATGTAGGATGTAGAATCCCTCATACTGTCCAGAAACATCTGAGCACAGTATGTGTGTGCGTGATGACATCTAGTCTGGCACTTCTTTTTGGATTAGGAAGCTCAGTTAAAGAAAGTTTGCTAAGGCTGGGGGGGAAAAAGCGTTCTCATATTATCCAGTGCAGACGAATGAAAAAAGTAAGCATAGTATTGTTGCACTTGTGAAATTACTACAGAATATAAACAATATAAGCATTTTATTGTCCATTTCTTTTCTAGGATGAAACTTCCAAAGTTCGTACAGACAGCAAGTTAGATTTCAATCTTGAAAAAAGCAGAGTAAAAGAATTGGTATGTACGCTTCTCTCTTGAAGATGGGTTCTTTGGACATACCGTCACACTGTTCTAATTTAGACATTTTTTTTCTTTGTAGTCTCTGTCTGATAGTCTTAGAGACTGTGTAATTTATCAGTCAACATTGTGTTCATAGTGTAGGGTGAAACTACTTGGACACACTGTTGGATTCAAAACAATTAGAAAATAAAATATGAGACTCTAAAAATATGAAATTAAAAAAGGTTTTCTGTTTTCACAGCATTCTGAGTGCTTAAAGATAATGTGAACTCTATCAATATTATATTTGTTTGTGAAACTTATTGTCGTCTGGCATACTACAAAAGCTTCTGAACAAGTGTAATCCAAAATACATATTGAATGCCCTTTCTAATGTGTAGATTTGTAAGTGCATAATTTAGAATCTTAATTGATGGGCGGGTTGTTTGTGTTTGTTTTTTGCAACCATTTGATCACAATATTGAAAGATCATTATACAGAAGAAAGCAAAATAGAGCAGTTAAAGCCAGAAGCTGTAACAGTGTTGCTGAAATAATGAAAAATGCAAATGAAAACCTAATCCATTGCTGTTGTTTTTTCAGTATTCACTTAATGAAAGAAAACTGTTGAAAATGAGAACAGAAATAGTGGAATTGGTAAGAACTATGACTGATCATTGAACAAGATAATAATCTCATTTGTTGTGTAGGCTTATATGCACCATCTTTAATGACAATATTATTTAGTTACCTATCTATTGACTAAAACAATAGATCCCTGAATGTGTAAAATGACAATTAGCTGGTACTTACATTTTATAGTTAAATGTATAACCAGCCTTCTGCAAAAATACATAATACATGCAACGTATTATAGTTAGAAGTGATACATATCATCAGTTGAAGATGGTGCTAATCAGGATTGGTGAAAGGGAAGCAAACAAGATCAGGTGGGGCAAATTAATTTTGGCTTTGTCCCCTTCCTCCTCCATCAAAATGACACTGGAATACAGCCCCTTATAATTAGCAGCTAACTGAACTGACCCATTGTCACTTATGCTGGTTTAATAGGTTTTATCCTACTGAATTATCTGCTGGTGGAAAAATATGGCTTCTACCCCTCTTTCTATCCACAAGGAAGAACAGTGCCTCATTGTGACCCAACAGACCAATTTCTACTGCTTTTTATATTGAATTGCCATGAAACAAGGGAAGCAAAATACATGGTTATGCTGATGAAATATATGGAAAGTCAAAATCATGAATCATACAAAATTGTTGAAAGATGACTTTTATGCAAGTAATCAGCCTGGAACACATTATCCATTACTGCCTTGAATAAGTACATATTACAGAGCTGTACATTCCAAAATCAGTGTTTAACTTCTCAGATGGGTATGAATTTCTAGTAGCAGTACAAATGGAAACATGACATCCAAGGGAAAGGTTTGAAATTGAGTTTGACTGATATCCTAAATACATATTTATTCTTGAAAACCATAAAAGAGCTCCTTGCCCATGGGGGAGGATACCTAATCCAACTATTTGGATTAGGTATCCACCCCCATAGCATATGCATGAAGAAAAGCATCTGGCATCTGGTATGTTTAACATCTTTGGTTTAAATCTCAATTATGTGTTGTTTACAATGCTAACTCTTTTTCCCCCCTTTGGGGAAATATCTGGAGAATACCACCGTTTGTAGTTCAGTAGCTTTTCTCCGTTACAGACTGAGCTCTTGGTGTGTGTGTGTGTGTGTGTATGTATATGTATATATATGTATATATATATGTATATGTGTATATGTATATGTGTGTGTGTATATATATATATATGTATATATATGTATATATATATGAACTGGAAACTCTGAATTATCTAAATGCTTTGGTTTGTTACCATAAATATTTACTTGATATCACACTATGTATATATGAGGAGGCAAAACCGCAGATGGTGTGCTTTCATTCTGTTGTGCATCTCTTGGCTCTTCCTCAAATTACTAACATGAGACTTCTTGAAGTGTGTGGGAACAGGGCTTGTACATCTGACAAAATGTGCCAGATTGGGCTTTTATCTGGTGATTCAGTGCATGTCTGTAGGAAGTGTTAATTTTTTTAGAAACACCTTTGTATTTTGTCCTAATGATTTTTACTCTAAATTAAGCCTGATAGCAACAGAAAATAGCTTTGAAGTAAGCAGCTCTTTATTTACATTTTTTTAATGTTGTTTCCTTCATGTACATGAAGATTATTTGGGTACACCTGATGAGGTACTGCTAGGTTAGACAAGCTGTAGAATGCTCGTTAGGGCTAAATGCCTAGTCTTGTAGTCGGTGGGGAGGGGAGAACCTACCAAGTAAGAGTATTTATGTTGGAGACAGTGAGTTGGCAGAGTACTGCAGCAAAGTTTTTTCTAGCAACAGCAAGTACAGAATCTGTGTTATAGAAGAAAGTGCTGGCCTTTTCATTGTATGAGTCTCATTTTTCAATAGAAATATTTACATTTTTTCTCTTTCAAAGCATGCACAACAAGATCGAGCTTTAACACAGACAGATAGAAAAATTGACACTGAAGTTGCAGGTCTGAAAACAATGCTTGAATCGCACAAGCTTGACAACATTAAATATTTAGCAGGTAAGTTGATCTGTCTCAGTGCATGTGCTTTGTCAACTGGCTTGGTTGTCTACCATGTGTGTATTTAATATTTAGAACACAGAGACTTCTGATTAGATTCTAGATATGTTTGCCATGCCTTTATGTATATAGTACTGAGTACTTCTCTTCTGTTTCTGCTTATTCAGATGATCCGAATGCTGGATTTATTTCTCACAAAAAATCAGCATACTGTATTAGCATATTTTCAAGGAAAAGTAATTTTGCATGAATACATACCAGTGAGACAAATTGTATTTCCATGCTTCTGCTAATAGTTATCCTGCAATTGTAAACTTACTTTCACTGCTAGTTACCCTAGTTTTCCTGTCCCTTTCCCATCTCCTTCTTTAATTAGACCTCCCCCCCAATTTCTGACATATTTTTTGCATTCTGGAAACACAGATCATAGGCTGTGAACATGTAAGCAAGCAAATCCTATAGCTTTTTTAACCATATATAGTTGTAGACAGGATACAAGCTGAATATAGAATTATTTAAATGTTTTCGTGTTTTCAAACTGGATTAAAATTTGACAGTGTGCATATTCTCTTCCCCATCCTTATTTTCTTTCAGGTTCAGTATTTACATGCCTCACGGTAGCACTTGGATTTTATCGTTTATGGATATAATAAAACATTCGTTTTTCAACGGCCTGTATATTTTCCCCAGAGAATAGCAAAAATGCATCGTCACCTATCTGAAGTAATGCAGTCTTTACTTCAGACAGTCACTGCCTTTTTATTTATTTGTTAAACTACAGAATGTAACCAAAGAATGTGCCTGAAATAGAATGTAAATATCAAAATATTGATACACTTGGTCCAAATATCCAGCAACTGTTTTGCAATCTTGCCCATCCTCGCAAACTTTTACATGTCTCTCAGCTGTTGTTATGATAGTGTTTACCAGAAAACACCAAATTTACCTTGTAGATGAGAATCTACTGAGTTACTGTATGCCAAATTCTAAGAACAAAATTCATCACTCAGGTGGAAGAGGGGGAAATCTATCTGACCCAGTTTCTTTGGAATGAAACACTTTTAAATAACAACTTGTTTTCTTTCTTTTGGTAAAACTTAACTGTGTTGTGTATTATCAGATGAGTTGCATTCATTGTGATCTGCTTTTATGGATTTCCATCCAATTAATAACGTGCAAGTGTTGTAGAAGATCATATTGTACAACAGATGCCAAATGAATAATAGATTTTTAAAAACCCTACATCCTGGCTGTTAACATAATAATGAAGAAAACAAAGCTGCTTGGGTTATTTTAGCTTTATCTATGGGCAGTGAGTGCTTCTTTTCATACAGACATTAAAACTTGTCTTCAATAATGCAGTTCACTTCTCTGAAAAACTGAAGAAAATAAAGTTCTTGCAGAGAAAATGAAGAGGCAGACAATATAATTCTGTATAATTCTGCTCAACATAAACTAGGCTTACTCTGGGGTAAGTAGATATAAGATTACAGCCTAAACTAAAGTTAGTTGAACAATAAGATGAACTCCAGCAGTATGAAAATAGTGTAGGATATTTTATTTGAGAACATGGCTTGAAATGTTTGGAAACATTTACTAGCGACAACTGTCTTGAAATGTCAATACTAAGAAATATCAGTTAATGCAAGTTTTAAATTGATGGATTTAACTCTTGTTGACCAAACATTTCTGAATGAAAGTTGGCAGTAAGATCAGAGATTGCAGTTAAACTAGAATACAGTTGACAAATACTTAATGCTTTTGGACTTATGCAAAGACATTGGATCAATGGTGTTTCATTCATTATTGTATTTGCCCTGCCTCAATAAGGACAGTAACTTGTGGGATTTTCTGCCTTGTATGGAAGTAACCTGATTATTATGCACCTGAACTTGAAGAGAGGGGGTTACTGTCAGCTATCATCCCTCTTTCAGAGACTGAAATCTTTGCAACCTGGAATCTTCAGAAAGAATTTAGGTGCAATACATTTATTTTAATATAGTTTTTCACATAAAAGTTTGGCTATTTTAGAAAACCTTTTGGTGTTTACCAGTTGTGTCATTTTAAAATTACAGAACGCTAGGAGGAGGTGGCAAAATCAAGGAGTGGATTCTATGCATAACAAAAAATGAATGGAAGCCAGTACAGTAGGACCCTGATATTGGCTGGGGATTGGTTCCAAGTTTCCCTCCATGGATACAGAAAACTGTGGATAATAGCGAACCTTGGGTTACTAATGCCTTGGTTAACGTAATTTTTGGTTTATGAACGAAAATCCATTGAAAAAAATGACTCGGTTTGCGAATTTTTTTGGAAATACAAAGCAAGTTTGCATTGCGCCTGGGAGGTTTATAGCATCATCCCATGCATGCATTCCTATGGGAAACTGCGTTTCAGTTTGTGAATTTTTTTGCATTACGAAACATCACGGAGAACGCATTAAATTCTTAAACTGAGATATGCCTGTGTATATAGCATGGTAAAGGGGGGGATAGCAAAAAAATAAAATAAAAAAATCACATGCATTACCAGAACTGGCCACTAGAGACCACGATATGTATTCTTCACTAACAAGTATTCATAGCATGGTCTCTAGCTCCCTCTAGTGGCTGTTTTGGTAATACATGTGAAAATCGTTTTCTCTGGATTTTTTTCTTTTAATATTTTAATATTTTCATACCATGGATAAGTGAATTAGTGGCTACTAATCCAATGGATAAGGGGGTCCTACTTTACTATGTATTTGAACTCTTTTTTGTTATTGTTGTCAATGCAGTAAATGAGTAATTATGCAATTGTATCTGCAAAGCCTCTTTGTCGGCTTACAGAGTTTAGTTGAGGTACAGTGGTGCCTCGCTTGATGAGGATAATCCGTTCCGTTCAAATCGCTGTTAAGCGAAATCCTCGTCAAGCGAAATGAAAAAGCCCATTGAAACGCATTGAAAACCACTGAATGCATTCCAATGGGCGAAATACCTCAGCGTCCAGCGAAGATCCTCCATAGGGCGGCCATTTTCTGGTGCCTGTAATGCGAGGAATCCGTCCTAAGCACAGAGCCATTTTAAACAGCGGGTGGCTATTTTGAAACCCGACGATCAGCTGTAAAGATCGTCGTTAAGCGATTTTTCCCATTGAAAACATCGTTTTGCAATCGCAAAAACTTCATTGTTAAGCGATTTCCTCATCTAACGAGGTAATTGTCAAGCGGGGCACCACTGTATTTGTTTAAATGTTTATGTATGTGATATAAATTGGTGTTAAATATTGGCTGGAAATCTATGGAAAAATACCAATATAAATCCATCAGCATACATTTTCAGCTGTGAATTCCACAAGATAGGAAGTCACCATAGGCACTTTCTTTCACAGGCTGAGTTGTGCAACAAATTTTTACAGCAGGTATCTACACCAACTTCTTAACTAACAGGAACTCTCATGAGGTTTATGCTGATGGAAGTGTGCCAATGGATGTAACTGGATTCTAGTCACATTATACAGAAATAGTTTACTGTTCCAGGTTGGTGCCATACACAAGATAAATTGTGAAATGTCTAAACCTGTACTTGAAAATACTATAATGTATAAAACATTTTGGTAGTGACTGCAGCTAATTTGCTCACTTGACGGTATTTGTCCGAGTTAAAATTCAGTCATATTCATTCTCTTATTTTCCAAGAGTCTATTCTAAACATGATTAAAATCTCAATGTGACTTCACTGTTCATTGGTACTTCTGCAACCATTTCTGAAGTCTCAAAATATTGTAGCTCACTCTTCCCCCTTAAACCCAATTATGCAGTAAAGTCTAAATAGAACAACTACAATCTACAACTACAACCCTCTCAATTTGTTTTGCTTTGAAAAGAGGTGATTAAAATTTTTTCTTTTAAAAAATTATATTAAGAATACATTCCTGTACTCACATACCAGGGAATACATTTCACTGAACTCAATGAAATTCACTTCTAAGAAGGCATGTAGAGAATTTCACAAAGTAAATCCAGCTATGTGGTGATAAGACAATGATAGTGGCCTTAAAAGCATACAGCATTTTTCAGCCCAGTCAAATTACAGTAGAAACTCATCTTAAAATATAAATTTGGATTACCTTTTGTGCCTTAGCATACTACATATTGTTTGTTTTCTGATGTTTCTGATGTATTAATGATGAATCAAGGACCACACATAAATTGTTTGACGGTTATTCTCTTCGTTTTCCTCCTCGAGAACTTGATATTCAATTGTAGTCAGGTTTCCAGCTATTTAACTGTGAGTTACTATTTCTTTTTCAAATGTGGTACAGTGGTGCCTCAACTTACGAACGTCCTGACTTTCAACCAATTCAAGTTACGACCAGCTCCGGCTGCAAAATTTTGCTTCAACTTGCGACTGGAGCTTCGAGTTACGATCAGGAAAAAAGGCAGGGAATTCAAATTGCTAACCGTTGGTGGCGAAGAGGCTGCTTCTTTGTAGCTCTTTCACCCCAGCTGTTAGAGAGTGTCCGTTTGAATGAGGCTTTGGACTACCTGGTAAGGTGCTGCTTTCTGCTTTTTAAAAACTGCCTGTTTTGGGTGGGTTTTGCAGCGTGGTTTTGGGCTGGGGGGTTATGTTTCTGTTCTGTGATGGGTCTTGCAGTCTTTGTTTTGGGTTTTTTTTTCCGCATTTCCAATGGGTTTTGCAGGGTTTGTTTGCTTTTTTGTTTTTGTTTTTTCCCCTTCAACCAGAATGGATTAACTGTGTTTCCGATGTGTCTTGCAGTGTTTTTGTTTGTTTGTGATTTTTTCCCCCGGTTGAACGGATTAATCCCGTTTCAGTGCATTCCTATGGGAAACTGTGCTTCAACTTACGCCCATTTCAAGTTACGATCATCTTCTGGAACGGATTAAGTTCATAAGTCGAGACATCACTGTATAAAAAGCATAGGCTGGAATCCTATTGGAAGTTAAGCTTATATAAATGAAATTCTTTAAATCAAGGCAGGGAATTGCCATCAATTAACAGGTGATGGTTATATTCCTGGTCACACTCATGGATGTGCAATGGGCACATGGCTGACAATATGAACTTGCACCATATTAATTCTGGCAGTTTGCTGCTATAACTTAGACAATTTCACATATATAGCATAAATTGCCAGTAGAATTTTGGTCTTGTGGGTTGAAGACATAAATTACTAGAGAGCGTTTTAGTGGTTAAACCAAAGAGTTTCTAGGAATTATGCTACATATCTAGATAGATCTAGACTCTTGAATGACAGAGTATTTCTATATGAATTTTTTTAAAAATTATAAATAAATGAATCAAGAAATATGACTTTTTTGGTTTAATGTGTATTTGCAGAAGCAATATACTGCATATTATTAATACACTGTATTATTTTTTGCCAACATGCAGGAAAACTAGAGGGGAATATTCTCTAGGTTCCTGTAGTAGCCAATAAAAACTAGTAAAAACGCAAAAGACTAAACAAATCAATACTTCACAAGTTGCTTAGAACTGATAAGAAAAGGGCATCACAGTTGACAAATGTCTGTCTCAACACATCTAAAAATTCCTAAAAGTGTCCTTAAAAATACGGTTTGAAAGTTACTAACACATTTGTTATACAACTGTGTTGCAAACAAAAACACTTCTGTCTTATTTGCTGAAATTTCTTCAGTGACTGGCTTCTCTTTAGCAGCCAGCAGAAAAATTACAGCAGCAATACAAACTCCTTTACATAAAGCAACCCAAGCTTCTGTAAGTCCAAACACAGAAATAACAGACTGGTTATTGGCATCTACCAAACACCTACCGTGTCTCCCCAAAAATAAGACAGGGTCTTACATTAATTTTTGCTCCAAAAACTTATTTTCAGGGGATGTTTCATTTTTTATTTTTCGTGTACAACAATCTACATTTATTCAAATACATACATGTCATCTTGTTGCTGCACAAAGGTGGAAGGTGGGGTTTCACTTGGGCTTATTTTTTGGGGTAGGGCTTATATTAGGAGCATCCTGAAAAATCATACGTACTAGGGCTTATTTTCAGGTTAGGGCTTATTTTCAGGGAAACCGGATATTGAACACAGTGGGGGAGCATTGCATTCTGACTGGGAAAACAGTGTTGGCCATTCTCCATGAACTTAAACAAATATCACTTCAATTGGACAAAATCCAGGATTCACCACATGGGTGTTCAAATGAGACTCCAATTCTGCAAAGCCTTACTTGCCTGGGAAACAGTAATGAGGCTGCTGAGTCCACGACCAGAAGGGGAGTATATGTAAGTCGTGCTGCCACATGACACTTGCAAATAACCCTAGAAATTGCAGATACTTCTACAAATAGAGGGCACTGGGCCAACAAGGAGAAAGCACTGGAGTCCTTGAGCAGGTTATTAACAACAGATGTGGGACAAATTGATCTAAAAATCATTGAAAGACTGCTGGGTCTCCCACATTTACTGAGATTACTCCTGAAATTTGCCAGCCCTGTCATCCCAATGATGCTTCCAAGGATGAGGAAATTTCTAAGCAGTTTTAACATTGCAACAAAGTTTTTTCTGACCTAGGTGTAAGGTTCCCCTTGACATTTTTAGTCCAGTCGTGTCCGACTCTAGGGGGCGGTGCTCATCCCGTTTTCAAGCCGTAGAGCCAGCGCTTGTCCAAAGACAGTTTCCGTTGCCACGTGGCCAGCATGACTAGGGAACGCCGTTTTACCTTCCCACTGAGGTGGTACTTATTTATCTACTCGCATGTGCATGCTTTCAAACTGCTAGGTTGGAGAGGATCTGGGACAAAGCGACGGGAGCTCACTCCGTCACATCGATTCGATCTTACGCCTGCTGGTCTTCTGACTCTGCAGCATAGGCTTCTGCGGTTTAGCCCACAGCGCCACCACGTCCCTACTAGACCTACTAGACTTACTAGATGTAAGGTCAGAAAAATAACAAGCAGAAATTGACTCCCCTGACCCATTATGCAAGATTCTATAAGGCCAGGTTTCCAGGCTCCGCTCAAAAGATCAGAGCAATTGCTCATAAAGAAAATAGAAAGCAACAGAGCTGCAGGCATCTAAGAACGCTGGCTGAAATCAAAATGATGGAACTGGAGGAAATGACCACACATTTACAGAACTTGCTATACACCTTAAAGAAGAATTCTATAGCCCTGACCAAGGCATGTACAGAAGGGCCAATAGAAATGTTATCTCAGGCTAGGTTACCTGAGACCTTGATGGAAACATCACTCCCACAAGAGATGCCAACAGATGGGGCTTCAGTTCCGTTTAGCAGTATCCTATATTGGCAAAGACAACTTATCGGGGGGGGGGTCAAGGAGAGGGTGTGACAAAACTCCACCCCAACTATATTGGCAAAGACAACTTATCGGGGGGGTCAAAGAGAGGGTGTGACAAAACTCCACCCCAAGCATCTATTACTACAATTGAATATTGAGGGAGATAAGATCCAAGAGGAGGCAATTTATACTTTCAGAGCCCTGACAAGTGTTTAACAAATAAAGACAATCCAAAAACTAGATGAAGTCAAATCTGATTTGCTTAACAACATGAACGAGACTTATCAGTTGGAAGAATCTGGACCCTAGCCAAGAGATGGTCATGTTGACCAATGCCTTGCTGGTTGAGGAGTTACCTCCCACACTGATCTTGCCACAAAAGAGCCAAGAGGTGAGGCTCTTCTCAACATAAGCAATTGTCTGTATTCCAAATATTTACTGGGCAAATTAGAGTGTTGGGCTGCTGAGAATTCAGTATTAGCAGAAGAACAGGAAGGGTTCAAAAGGGAAAATCCACTGTAGATCAATGCTTTGTACTTCATCACCTGATACAAAAATATTCCGAATTAGGTAAGAAGGAGCTTTATGTCACCTTTGTGGATTTCGGATGAGCCTTTGATCTTATAGATACAGATCATCTGTGGCAAAAACTTTCCTCCACCAATATAGACAGAAGGCTGTTGTTACTAATTCAGGTGCTTTGCTCAAATACTAATCTTAGGGTAAGGCTTGGAACAAATGGGATGCTGATGGAGACAATAACAACAGATAGAGGAGTTCGGCAGGGATGCCTGTTGGCCCCCTTTCTTTTCAATTTCTATTATCAATAACATTGTGCAAAAATCGAATGGTCTTGAATTCTTCCCACCTTCAATCAGAGATGTCAAGCTTTCAGTCCTTTTATATGCATAATATTGCAATCGTTTCCACTACATTTTGTTGTTTCCTGTCTTCCACTGCCCCCTGGAGTTTGGTCCAATTCATGTTGGTAGCTTCGATGACACTGTCCAACAATCTCGTCCTCTGTCATCCCCTTCTCCCCTTGCCTTCACACTTTCCCAACATCAGGGTCTTTTCCAGGGAGTCTTCTCATGAGATGGCCAAAGTATTGGAGCCTCAGCTTCAGGATCTGTCCTTTCAGTGAGCACTCAGGGTTGATTTCCTTCAGAACGGATAGGTTTGTTCTCCTTGCAGTCCAGGAGACTCTCCAGAGTCTCCTCCAGCACCACAGTTCAAAACAATCCATTCTTCGATGGTCAGCCTTCTTTATGGTCCAGCTCTCACTTCCATACATCACTACTGGAAAAACCATAGCTTTGACTATGCAGACCTTTGTCGGCAAGCTGATGTCTCTGCTTTTTAAGATGCTGTCTAGGTTTGTCATCCCTTTCCTCCCAAGAAACAGGCGTCTTTTAATTTCATGGCTGCTTTCACTATCTGCAGTGATCATGGAGCCCAAGAAAGTAAAATCTGTCACTGCCTCCATATCTTCCCTTTCTATTTACCAGTGGTGATTATCTTAGGTTTTTTGTTTTGTTTTGTTTTTTGTTGAGCTTCAGACCATTTTTGACGCCCTCCTCTTTCACCCTCATTACAAGGTTCCTAATTCCTCCTCACTTTCTGCCATCAGAGTGGTATCATCTGCATATCGGAGGTTGTTTTTTCTTCCAGCAATCTTAATTCTGTTTTGGGATTCCTCCAGTCTGGCCTTTCGCATGATGTATTCTGCATATATGTTAAATAAGGAGGGGGACAGTATACAGCCTCGTCATACTCCTTTCCCAATTTTGAACCAATCAGTTGTTCCATATCCAGTTCTAACTGTTGCTTCCTGCCCCACATATAGATTTCCAGGAGATAGATAAGGTGGTCAGGCACTCCCATTTTTTAAAGAACTTGCCATAATTTGCAGTGGTCCACACAAAGTCTTTGTGCATACAGTAGTCAATGAAGCAGAAGTAGATGCTTTTCTGGAACTCTCTGGCTTTCTCCATAATCCAGTGCATATTAGCAATTTGGTCTCTAGTTCCTCTGCCCTTTCGGAATCCAGCTTGTACTTCTGGGAGTTCTCGGTCCACATACTGCTGAAGCCTGCCTTGTAGGATTTTGAGCATAACCTTACTAGCCTGTGAAACGAGTGCAATTGTACGGTAGTTGGAGGATTCTTTGGTGCTGCCCTTATTTGGGATTGCGATGTAGACTGATCTTTTCCAATCCTCTGGCCACTGTTGAGTTTTCCAAACTTGCTGGCATATATCTTTTAAGATTTTAAATAGTTCAGCTGGAATGCCATCACCTCCACTGGTCTTGTTGTTAGCCATGCTTTCTAAGGCCTTTTTGACTTCAGTCTCCAGATGTCTGGCTCAAGGTCAGCAACCACGCTATCTGGGTTGTCCAGGACATCCAGATCTTTCTGGTATAATTCTTCCGTGTATTCTTGCCACCTCTTCTTGATGTCTACATTAGTTGGCATGCAAAGACTTTTGGCTAAACTGAGCAAATCCTGTTTAAGAGAACATCTGGTCAGCAATAATATCAAAACCAAAGTAGTCGTCTTTGGAAATAAGAGAAAAACTCACATATGGAAGCTTGATGACAACCCCACTGAGCAGTTATGCAGTTTTAGACATCTTGGCCTTTACTTTAATGCCCAACTTTCATGGAAACACAATCTGAATGCAACCAGTCTGAAAGCATCCCATTTCACTCAGTCTCTCTTGTGGTTTACCATAATTTATGAGGGGAATTTAGTTGCTCCTGCAGTTGAGGTATTTGCTAAGGAACAAATACCCCAAATAACATGCAGGGCAGCGATATGGGGATACAGTATACAAAGACCCTTGCTCAAGAAGTAGTTCAAAACTCTTTCATGTGATCTCTCCTAACAGTCCCATGTGCCATGTCTGCTGCATATTTAAGTGCTGAATTAGGATTAAACCCAACTGAAATATATTCCCACATTGCACTGGCCATGTATTGGTTGAAATTGGCCTGCATGAGTAACTCTTGCCTCCCAAAGAAGTGCTACAAAGAACAACTGCATAGTCCTCCTTAAAAGTCCTGGGTAAACTCAGTTAGACCCATTCTATAGAGCTATGGGATCGGCACAGAGTCTTTGTCCACTTTTCCCTCTAAAAGAGCAAAGCATCTGGTTAAAGAAAAAAAAATCAATATTCACTCTAAGTGGCTGGATGTGTGTGCCATCTCACAAATGACCTAGTCTCATTGGTTCCCTCTATACAAAACATCATTTGGTTTGGAGAATTATTTTGTTTTTTAGCCCCTTTAAGAAAAGCATTCACAGCTTTGCGTTTTCAGTGTATGCTATCAGCCATTTTAGAGGGGAGATATGATAATGTCCTATTTCATTGAAGACTGTGTATCTGTGGATCAGGAGAGGTTGAAGATGCTTTCCATTATTAAGTTGCCCTTTATATGAGCATCCCAGAAACCAACTTCTTGCTGGTATTCTTAGACTTCTATGTGATAGACACCCCCCCCTCCAGCTCAACTCTGCACACTACTTATGGGTAGGGATGCAAATACTACCTATCAAGTAGCAAAATTTGCTTTGGCACAAAAAAAAGCCAAACAGTGAAAGTCTTAAGAAAGAAGGGATGTTATGTTATCTTGAATTTATGTATAAGATATATGGGGTCTGCAGTTGTGTTACTGTTCACATTGTGGTGGCCTATGGTTTTAAACAATAAAGCATGTCCTGTTCTGTTACTTGTTACACCAAAACAGCAGCTTTGCAAATACTCATCTCATTATTTTTGAAATATAACTCAGTTACCTCCTTGTTTCACAATTTAATCACATTTCTGCTGATAGGTTACTATGTTATTTCTAACTGGTTACCACTGAAGTTCAGGGGAGGGGCTGTCTCCATTTAGAATATCCTATCAATTGCCCTGGATTAACGTCCACAACTGATTAGAGTGGACTTTAAGCAAGAATCTGTTCAGTGTGGATTTCTGAATCCAGATTTAGGCAATTTGGATGTGCAAATTTTCAAAAAAAATTTTTTTTACAAAGTGTTGGTAAAAGCGCATCCTCAAACTATAAATGAAAAGAACTAGACTTAATTTTTTCAAAAGGCAGAGAATGGAAGAAAGGAAAATGATAGAGGACATTCAGCTGAGAAAAAGAAGTGCTTTTAATTAGCTTAACTGGCATCACTATTCATGAACTCACCCATTTGTCTTCAAGCACTGGAACTGTTCTGATGAGACAGAAGAATTAGGTCCCTTGCCTGACAGTGGGGTGTACTGTTCTAGGCCAGACTAAAGGTTGACTTTTAAGTGAGTATCTGTCATCCTGTTGGCTCAACAAAGGAACTGAAAAAATGGATTTTTAAGTCAGGTGTAAGAAAAGCATAAATATTAAATATATATTGGTTTATAAATGCAGCTCAGGATTTCAATCATATTCTGCCCTGAAGAAAACTGATTAATCTTTAAATGGGAAAAAGGTCAATAGCAAAGTATTCATCTCTTCCATATAAACTAAAGTAATTAAGGTTGCACCTTTTTGGCAGGGAGGAGAACCGAAAAGAAGAGTCCTTTAAAAATAGTTCCACGCAATGTAATAATGATTTTGGGGCATATTGACAAGAATAGAAATTGATTGTGACAGTATTTGTCGCACTTCGGACTTGGGAATGAAAAAGATTCCATTTTTAGCAGATGCTTCCTGAGACGTGGATTAGATCCAGACTTAATTATACTTGATGTTTATTATATCCTATCAAGTTGTAGGTCTGTTAAATCAGTAGGAATTTGGTGAGTTCACTCTTCTGTAAATTCCATTGATTCAAATGGGCCTACTCAAGTTGTGACTTCTTGTGCTAAGCAGCAAGATTTCAGGCATTATACATTATATTATAATACTTGGGTTAAAATTATTGAAATACATGGAATGTAAGTGAATCTACCTAACTTGCTCCACTTCTTACAGTGAACAGAATTTAAAAGTGATTGGATCCATACCATGAAAAGACTGGAAAAAACTAAATTGTTGACACACAGCATGCAAGAGAAGAAATAAATCTGTGATGCTTTGCTGTAAAATGAGGATTAGTGCAGTTTGAAAGCAGCTTTTCATCTTGGAATGCGGTAGCTAGAAAACTAATCTGTTAAGATTTCCCATGTCTATTAAAATAGTGGCACTGAGCTTTCTGCCTGTATGTCTTTTATTACTTTGCTTTTAATAATCTAAAAAGAGCCATAAAAGAATAAGAATCTCTTAAGAAGTAGCTTCATCACTTCTGATCAAATCTACAAGAAAAAGTCGTTTCTATTCATTAGAGACTCTTAATAAAAATTGCTGCGGAGCTAAAAAAGACTGGTATTTCTCAAAGTAGTTCTTTTTTATTCTACTTGAAAGCAATATAGCACACTTTACTGTCTTTAATACTCTTGTCTGACAGTAAAAGTCTTGAAGTATGCAAGCACTCCGCTACTGTTCAACTGTACAGATTTTAGTCACATTGACTCTTTATACAATGCACCTGGAGAAACTTTGATTTTCCCCTACAGGTGGATCAGTGTACTTTTTAATGGCCTTTGCCTTATACCTGTTGATAGTCACTTGAGTGTGCACCATGTTGTCATTTGTCATGTGCACACACTCATGCAAAGATAAATGAAATTGCTGCATGTGTATCTTCAGAACAATGCCCCATAAGAATGCAATCCTTAATAAAAGAGCAGTCTAAAAGCACACTGTTGTATCTGAAATTGCATGTTCCTTTTATTTCTCTCAAAGTTATTATTTTTAGCTTTCTAATGCAATAGACAGGTTGAGCAAATCAGATAAATGGACATTAAGAGCTGCTGATTGTACACGTACTTTGCCTTTGAAAAGAATTTCCACCTCTGATTTTCTCCCCCCATCTTATTTATCTATTCTGTATATTTACTGTTAGTGCAAGAATTCTGAGAGGACTTTGTTTAAAAACCCAAAGCATAAAAGCATATTTAAAAGAACCAGAAACAGCCATAATCTTATTAGTACTTGCTATGTTATGTGCTGTCAAGCTGGAACCAACTTACAGTAACCCTAATAGGGCTCTTAATGAAAGCAAGATGTTTAAGTACAATAATGGTTTATGAGTTCCACACCTCCAGTGAGTTTCCATGGGTGAGCAGGAATTCGAACCCATGCCTCCTGAGTCCTAATCTGTCACTCTGTTCACTATTCCACACTAATTATTTTATTATACTTACCATCTGCCTTTTTGCCAAGACACTCAAGACAGAATCCAGGAACCACCATCATTACTGGGTTTTATTCTCACAAAACACTAGGATCTTGCCCTCCCTTTTTACTATTCTTTTTGCTATCCTCTCCATCACACTTTCCACCACCTTACTGCCATCTGTTTTAATTTCTGATTTGCTATGTATTAACTTATTTTTATCGTGTTTTTAAGTTTTTTTCCTCCTTATATTGTTTTAGCCGCCCGGAGTGGCCAGGTTGCCAGATGGTATGGGATATAATTTTAAATAATTAATAAATAAAATAAATAAACTTTCATGAGGTGGGATAAGTTGAGTCAAGGCCATTGAGTCAAATATATAAAATGAGCTGCAATGACGTTTCAGGGCACACTCTGTCTGCGCCTCATTCTAGTACTCTGACCACTATACCACACTAACTCAGATAAAGTTCCAGATTAAAATCAGAGCAAAACTGAGAAGGGCTCCTTCTGGCAAAACTCCATATGAGGAACACTTCCCTGAGGAAAGCATTCCACAATCTGGCTGCCACTACAAAGAAGATAATTTCTCTAGTTATCTTTATTCTTGTTTCAGAATAACTTTAATGTCTGTAAGAGAAAGAGGCCTTTACAATCCTTTTAAAATTTCCTGCCCTTTTAGTTGACCCAGCTCATGCCATCCCTTATTCAGTAATGAGAATGAACAGGTGTAGCTAGGTTATAATACCATTATGAGATTTAGTGGTGATAAAGGAGTGCTGCCAGCCCCATACAAGTGTTAGAGTTCTAGTTTGTCAGTGTAATTATAGGGGAGGGCATTGCCCTATCCACTCAAACACTGTTTTCCATATTCTCTCACAATGTGTCTGAGGAGAAGAAATTCCTGTTCACATGGAGAGTCTCCATGTGAGTAACAACTTGCTCTTCAGACTTGTCAGTGAATGCACGTGCACAGCAACAATAGAGAGTGGTAGGGCTAGATACTCGAAATGTGTTGAGAAACTGGGATTCTTCACTGCCTAAATAGAGTATCATAAGTAAGGCATGAGGATTTTCTCTCTCCAAATATTGGGCAGCAATCCCCATAATCCCTCACCACTAGCTATGCTGGATAGGGCAAATGGAAAGTTACAGTTCAACATACCTGAAGGGCCACGTGCTACCCCCAAGGTTATTCTAAAGCTAATTATAAGTATCTCCAGTAACAGCATGCCTCTAAAATTTAGATTGTCCTCTTGAAATGCTTTCATCGAAGATGTGAGACAGGACTAGTCAAAAATAGACTCCCAGTCTTGTCCCTAAGTATGTCATAGATCACAAGCTGAATTCATATTCAGCCAACAGTGTGATGTGACTACATGCCATTTTAGGATGCATTAATAGAAGTATAGTCTCCAAAGCCCACAAGGTACTAGTTCCCCTCTATTTGGAACTGGTTAGGCCTCATCTTGATTACTGTGTCCACTTCTGAACACTGCACTTCAGGAAGGATGCTGACAAATTGGAACAAGTTCAGAAGAGGGCAAAAAGGATGATTGGGGACTAGAAACCAAGTCCTATGATAAAAGAACTGGGTGTGTATAGTCCTGAGAAAAGAAGACAGAGGGGAGATGTGATAGCAATTTTCAAATACTTGAAAGGCTGCCATACAGAGGAGGGACAGGACCTGTTTTCCATCAACCCAGAGAGCAGGACACAGAATAATCAGGTCACATTACAGGAAACTAGATTTCAGTTGGATATCAGGAAAAAATTCCTAACTGTTAGAGAAGTATAGCAAAGGCACCAATTACCTAAAGAGGTGGTGAGTGCTCCAATACTGGAGGCATTCAAGAGAAATTTAGGCAACCACCAGATATCCTTTGTATTCCTGTACTGAACAGGGGGTCGGATTCAATGGCTTTATAGGCTCCTTCCAACATTAGGGTACTATGATAATGTTGCTCTAATTCTGAGTTGATTGAACTGAATTAAGTTGGTGCTGCTCTGGTTCAGTTGCCACTTTTGGTTGCTCTGCTGCAAATCTATCTTCAGGTTTTAGGGGTTCTGTGTCAAATGGTAGGATTTTTCCTTTTTTGATGCTCCTTGGAGCATTGCTGGTCAAAGCAGTGTTGCAGTACTTGAGACTGTTATTTTAATTTCCTCAATTACCCAAAGTGTTGCTTTGTTGTTGAAGGCATTGTGCAAAAATTAGACTTAAATGTCTGGCATTGCTTAGGAGTAGCAGAATAGATATTGGGAGGGGAAGAGCCATTGTGTCCCCAGGAGCTGCTGTTGGATGCCAGGTGGTAAAGCTAGCTCCTCCTTTAACAGAGCCTGACAAATAACAGTGTTGCTGCTGAAGCTTTTCTTAGCATGGATAAGAATTGAGTAGTTTAATGGGTTAAATTTCTGTGCCTATAGCTGCTCCTATATACTAGGAGTAGCACAGTGAATGGTGATTAGTGAGAGGGTTAGGTTTGTTTTGTATTATAAATAACAGAGAGAATTCTGGGTTACAGCCAGCATTTTGCTAAATTTACAGCATCCCTTTTTCACGAATGTCACATCCCCTGCAACTGCCAAATAGTGAGTATTGTGTTCTCATACATGAAAGCAGGGCACAGTGACACAGCACTGATTACCATTTCTACATGCCCTGACTTGATTGTTGGCTCTGAGTTCTATTGACAAGGTGTGGGGAGTGGGAGAAAAGATAATAAGCGGTATTGCACTTACATACTGTAAAACTAGCATTGTACTTGTGCACTGAAAGAGATTCTCTTGCATAATGTACAAAGGCACATGAATCTGATCCCTACTGAGAAATTATCTAAATGTTAAATTTTGAAATATAGAGGTCTATATTTCAGGGGGTGCTATTTATATGGGCATGAGACCTTGGGTAACTCCTGGTTGACTCACTGCCTGCAATAAAAGAGCATTTTTGGAGAAAGTACTCATACTTCTTGGAAGAAATGCCAATTAAAATGTAGGGTGTTCCTTCCTTTCCCACTCTGCTAATCAGAGCAAAGAGTGGCCCATCCTGCTCTTGAATTTTGATAGAAAAGTAAATTTGATTCCCAACTTTCAGTAAAATATAGAGAAGAGAAAGATACTCATAACTCTTAATGTTGT